GATGTCGGCAAAGTTTTCCTATGTGTTAAATTCATATAATATATATTGATATCGTCGCTAATATGTACTGTGCATTTATGAAACAAGTTTTGCTATTTTGAGGTACTTAAGGTCCTAGAAAATGTAATAAAAATATAATTAAATCATCATTTCAATATTTTTGCGAAATTTTTCGAGAGTGATTCAAGTATGCTGTGGTCATATGTTTTTCCTTCGATCCTTCCATGAAGAAGATTAAATCAATGCTGTGTTTATAAGTATATATATATATATAAGTATATGTATAAGTATGTATATACTTATACTTGAAAAATTGTATGTTTTCGGGGCCCTGGATTAATGTATTTATTAATATTGCATTGGTAAGTAAGAATTTTTACTTTTTCAAATATGAAATTTTGCATGATTTGAAAGGTAAGTAAAAAATATGAAATAAGGTTTTTTATTGTTATTGTAATGCTATTTTGCACATCATTTTACTTTCAGCTGCAGTCCTATATAATATAATTTTAATGGAGGCTTAACAAAAGCAAAAGCGATTTACGACCCATCACCGCCTCTAAAATATGTCTTAACGTTTTTCGAACTAAAATACAGGTTGATACAGTTCAAAATTAAAAAAATTAGTTCTAGAATTTTGGATATGGTTCGGGTCACGGGATATGAACTCATGACCTTCGGCATGGTAGCAAGAACAACTAATTTCCCCCAGATATTGCAGCTGTAAATTGATTTTTATATAAGCAACATTTTATTTAAATATACAAAACTTGAACTTAATTATATTTTTTTTACATTTGATTCGAAAGATGTGGTTTTATGCCTTCAAAAAAGTGCTCTGCTATGTTAGGTGTGGTAAAAAGAAATCCATCACTAATATTTATTAATAATAATATTTACTATTCTTATCCAGCCTTATACAAATAGTTCCAAAGCTTTTTGTGCAATCTTCAGCTCTTGGGCAATCGATATATTACTCGCTTAGTGGTCAGACTCGCTCTACTCAGTGAATCATCTTTTATATCAAAATTACCGGAATGAAACCGAAATTGTGCATGATTGACTGTAACGGTATCAGGACTATAAACGCTATTCATATTTTCAGCAGCCTGGCTTGCATTTTCGCCCTTATCGAAGAAAAACTGTAAAATAGAGCGTTTTCTCTCTTTGCTTGTGTCCATCTTTGACGCACGCTCGAGTAAAACGGAATCAACCAATCATAAAACTGTTAGAGAATATTTTTTAGCACGAAATGTCTTCTGTCTAACGCCATCCAGCGTAACGCGATCGGATTTATACAACGCGAGAAACAGATAAATAAGGCCATCTATTAGAAAAATAGTGAAAAATAAATGTCTTTTACTACACCTGATATAAAATGATTATAAATTTAATATAATAATAATTTTCAATGCTTCAATTGGTGAAAGTTTATATTGTAAAATAAAGGAATGAAAAAACATAACCTCAAATATATATGTTTTTTTTATTTATTCCATTGAAAAATTAGGGGTACAAGTATTTTTGAGTGAAACGTATTCTTCACACTGGATAAATTACTTTTCTAAAAATATCCAAAAAGTGCATATTTCTTTTTTTTAATAATTTTTGCCTACCGAGGGTGCCTGAGGATGAACTTTGTATGTACTTCGCTTTGTTGGTGATTGGACTTTATTCGAAAAAATTAGTAATAAAAATGTTAATAATATTTTTTTATATTGAATATATGTATATATATAAATACATTAATTTTATTTGTCAATACTTCCTAAGAACTTGGCAAGCGCTAATAAACTTTAGTTTTTGTGATTTCATATTAACTTAAATTACTTATACATATGTGTGTGTACAATAAAAATATATACAAAATTAGAAAAAAAAATTTCATTTGTAAAAAAGCTTTTAGCTATAAGACAAGGTTCGTTTCATTAAGTTTTGTTTTTAAATTAAAAAAAAAATAGTCATAACCGTTAGTTCTTTAAGAGCAAAATTGTGAAATAATTTTATTCATATTTTATATAACAAAATTGATTTTTAATTTGCGCTCGTACAGATTCGTACGATTCGTACATATGTATAACATACTCGTACATATACACATATGACTATGTAATGACTCGTGTACCGTAAGAGGTTAATAATTACTATTGATCTTTTAATTCTATCGATTTTATTGGCATTTGATTTTATTCCAATAAAAATGTTAATTAACGGTAGTTCTGATTGGTTGACTGAAAGAAAGTTGCGTAAAATATGAGTATTCGAAGGAATTAAATGCGCGAACTTGATAGCAACTTTAATTTAATTGAAACCAGCTCCAATGAAAAACGTTTTAATGCCTCGGATGTGATACCTCCACGTCAATGACGATCACTGTAAGCATATTAAGGATTATGATCAAAGGATATGCAGCTGGAATGGACGAGGCTAACATCACCGCCGTCTACGCTGGGGACCAAAATATAGTTGATTCAAGCGCACTCCTGCCCTCTGAGAACACTCATCAGCAACTCGCTATAGGGGAAATCTGGGATGGATGTTCGTAAAGGTCCCAAAAGCAGCTGGTACGATGAGGACTTCCGCATCGCGGTGGAGAGAAAGCAGGCTGCCTACCTCACACCGTTGCGATCGACTACCACACTTGTGGGATGGTATGATACCGAGAATTGAAGATGAAGACAATACAAAGAAAAAAGNATCACCGCCGTCTACGCTGGGGACCAAAATATAGTTGATTCAAGCGCACTCCTGCCCTCTGCGAACACTCATCAGCAACTCGCTATAGGGGAAATGTGGGATGGCATTCCAAGCTGCCTACTTACAGCTGCAAACAAAAAAATTGATGTTCGTTAAAGTCCCAAAAGCAGCTGGTACGATGAGGACTTCCGCATCGCGGTGGAGAGAAAGCAGGCTGCCTACCTCGCAACGTTGCGATCGACTACCACACGTGCGGGATAATATGATACCGAGAATTGAAGATGAAGACAATACAAAGAAAAAAGTCGAGATCCGTGAATATGACTGGCATGAGTAGCTGGCCGATAGAGGTAATGTTCAAAAACTCTACAAAAGGATACGGCGGCTTACAAAATGTTTCAAAATCATAGCAAACACTTGAAGGACCCAGAGAGCAATAGAGCACGACTGATGCCCTGAGTATAATTGATTGTCTGCAGTCTGCTGAAAGGCAGTGAAAATGGAACACCATACTTTCTCTAGATAGGATAAAGAACGGCACGAGTGAGTGAGTGGTAGAGAACGAGAGCATTCGCGACTCGGCTCCCACGTCAGTGTCGGTAGTCATAACTTTGAAGTCGTAGATAACTTCGTCTGTCTTGGAACTAGCGTTAACACCAACCCCCAAACCAAACTCCCCCCTCGACGAATCAAAACCATACTCGACAAGTCCCTGGTTATTCCCGTCCTGTTACATGGTACGGAGACATAAATATTAACAACATCTGAGAAGTCGGCATTGAGGGTTTTCAATAGAAAGGTTTTGCGTATGATTTATGGTCGTTTGCGAATTGGTGAGGATAGCAAACATTTTTTGTGTAGCCCAATTCACTGTTTGGAGTTTTGTGATGAAATCAAAGAATGGCTCAGTAATTGGATCGAGGCCAGAGAGGAATCTTTTTAGAGAAGGTATTCCAATGTTACCAAAGAGATGGACAATTACTTCGATTGATGTGTTTTTTTTTTAATTATTTTTTCAATAAAAAAACACTTTTTATAACACAAAAAAATGGACCGAATTAATTTTTATTCCCAAAAAATTCAAGAAAATTGTGCTTCCTTGACGTCTCAGTCAGTCAGTTTTTCATAAAAAGGATGTTACGGAGAAAATTTAAAATTGTAATTTTAAAGGATTAAAATTGGTTCAGCCGTTTTATTACTCTGGCTGCCAGTTAATTCGATGGAAATCAAAAGTGTAAATTTCTCAAATCTTTCTTACTCTTATAGGAATGCGAATATGTATGTATGTAAATACATGTGTGTGTGTGACTACCTGCATGAACGTTAAATTTCAAAGTAAGACTTTATCTGTCTGCCAACTATAATTAAATGGCACCAATTTGACGCCAATCAACGCTACATTTCTTGCAATTGAGAATTATTCGCATATACATACATGCATATACACATACACATATGTATATGTACGAGTATGTATTTTTTGATTTATACACAAATGTATTATTTCCATTAAAACCTACTAGAATTCATATTTTTGTTGCGTGCACTTTTTTATTATTATTATTGCCTTCGAACTTTGTACCATTGGGTCACTAATACGCCAAGGGGTTCCGCATTTAATTTAAAATTCTACGTATTCAACAAACAGACATAAACATAAAGTGGACTACTCGTTGTGTAGCTAACGAAATTTGCACTGCTCAAAGCTCAAATTTCGAGTAATTCCAAGTTGTTGGCTGGAAACTCACCACAGTTCATGCGAAGAGTACGCTGGTGAGTGCACTCAAAGTGAGTGAGTTGCTCAACAAATTACAATAATTAATTATTTTTACTCAGTTTTCTATTTAACGACTTTGATGGCGAGTTTACTGACTTTAACCGTTGAGTTTATCGGCTTTGCTCGTCGTACGTAAGGCAAAGTCCAGCTCGTTAAAGAAAATACTCAATTGTTGTGGAAGTAGTTGAGTTCAACTAGCACAACAGGTTTACACTCAACTACAAGTTGAAGTTGATTTTAAACTTTTAAGTAGAAAATTCGTTGTAAATAAATTTTGTTTATTAAAAAATATGCAATTATATTAATTAAATAAATCGAATTAAAATTTTGTTACTGAAAATAAACATATATTTCCAAAGTTCGCTTTTGTCTCAACTCGCCATTTGTATTTGCGCTAAGTCTGCGTAGACAAACGAGAGACTCAAGCAAGTTAGCGCTCGTAGACATTGGCTGAGTTGAAGATCAACATGTGCGGCGTCTGAGTAAAACTCACAACGTCAAGTCGTCTACAAAGTATTCCGCATGCGGCCAGCGACTGTTGAGCTTATGGAAATTAGCTTTCTGTCATTTCAGTACGATTTGGACGGTTAAACGTAACACAAGTGTAGCTGTGACAAACGCCGTTGACGTCGGAATAGTGAAGTGTAGAATTTATGAGTTTTTTGAAGTGCTAGTGGACTTGAGCGCGGTTAGTGCATTTAATTAAATAAAAATGTTTAGTATTCAAAATGATATTTCGTTTGTTAAAAGAGCATAAAACACTAAATTAAGATAACGATATTAAAAAAGAAATATAAAAAATATTTTTACAAGAATTAATAAAAATTTAACTTTATTAAAAGAACATAAAAAATATGCTTAGATATTAAAAAAATTTAAAAAAATATTTTCACAAGAATTAAAAAAAAATTAAACTTTATTAAAAGAAAATAAAAAATATGCTAAGATATTAAAAAAAAAGTTTATAAATAAAAAGTTATGATTTCGTTGTGATAATGAATAAAAAATTAAAATTTCTTTAAAGAACATAAACGCTAAATTTATAAAAAATTTGAAAAAATATATATTCAATTTGCGTCTTACTGTTCGAAAGTTAATAAAAATTTAGTTGTATTAAAAAAAGATATTTTATTCGCAAAAACTAAAGTTTAAATTAAAAAATTAAATAAAAACTATTCGAGTAAAATTAAAGGTTTCTAACAATATTAAAAAATAAATGAACACTAAATAGAAAAAAAGAAATTGTTCAAAAATTTGTTTAAATAACCAAAATTTTTTTTGAAATATAAAAATATTTACTTGAAAAAAAATTTAGAAAAAGCAATTTGTATCACTAAAATGTCTAAGCTTATACAGATTTTTCTGTTTTTTTAAATTTGTTTAAACTAATGTCAAACGTGTAAACAAAAACTTGTTTGCAGACTATAAAAAAATTGTATTTTAAATAAATTTGTTCGCTTCCCAACTAAGAACTTGGCGCAAATTTTTAAAGCAAATAACAACAGCGACTATTCGAAAATAAAGATCAATCATAAAACGGCAGAAACAACGCGTGTACGTGTTACTAACTAAAAATATTGTAAATAAAAAAAATTTTAGCTGAAAAAGCTAGTTAAGAAAAAACAAGTTTGTGTCCGCAGTCTTTTGTTTTGTGCAAACTTTGATTCCCATTGCTGTTTTACAGGGCAAAAAATATCAGACACAGTGTAAAACGTTATAACAAAAAACACAGTTAATGTGAAAAAGAAGACAAATTAAGCTTTCAAGCAAAAATTCAACCAGAAAATCACAGAATTTAAAAAGTTGAAAAGAAATTTCTCATTTTTTTTTTGTGTGTTTTTTTCCTTTAGTTTTGGATACAAAATTATAAACAAAAAATATAAAAATAAAAACACCTTGACCACAAGGCGTTAGCAGCAGCAGCAGCAACAGTGAAAAAACGTGTACGAATTCACTCACATAGAACTATCCAACGGATTTATTAAAGCAAGCAATAAAAAGTTTGCTAAAAGCAAAAGCAAAACAAAAACGTAAGTGCTAATAAATATCTTTATATACTTTTTTTTCAAATTGGCGACGAAAAGAGTATTAACAATTTATACTCATTAATGTAAACCAACACGAAAATGCGTTGTTCTAAAATTAACTTCAAAAATCGGTTTATTTAATTCTACCAAAAGCAGGGGATTTTTCTTCACACTTTAATGAAAGCATAAAAAAATATTGTTTAATTGGCGCAAAAAATGTAAACAAAAATCTTTCGTATCGATTTCAAGTACGAAATTGGCGTTCAAGTACGCAACGCAATGACTTGGCAAAAAAAAAATTGTTTTTTCAATTTTCAAAGTTATTTTTATTTTATTTTTTAAGTTATTTTTAACTGGTTACCTTTACCTTACATATATATGTATGTATATGGCGCTTGTAAACGCTGAAGCGATTTCTCGTCCGAACCGCATGTTGATGTTTTTCAAACAAATGGAGAGACCTGCAGTATCTACTAAGCCACCACCGAACTGCTGCTGGTTTTATCACGTTCGAAATACACTCGGAGGGCTGAACATTCCCCACCGAGAGGCAACAGTAATTAGATAATTTTATTTAAATTAATTTTCCATAACTTTTGAGTGTTGATCGCACCAGAATTTGGATCCGAGTCTTCTGAATGTCAGTACGCTATGCTAACCACTCGGCTATCCCAGCTGCCATGTATATGTATATATAGTATTAAATTTTTCACTCTGCCTAATTTGACAAAAAAGTTGCTCAAGAAGGTCAAATGGCGGAAGTGATCGAGGAAGAATTTTTAACTCTTATGAATATATGACCCAAAGAATGTATCACGTAAATTGGAGATAGTTTTTTTGAGGTAATTTTCCGACCACTTTTTGGCACATATTTGGCGGTGTCTCAGTCATAACTTGCGGAAGTTTTGCTTCATAACTGCTCAAGATCTTCTTTAGTCTTTATTTTTTTGAAACCTCGAAATGTATAACCCTATAGATCTAGTTTTTAAATATTAAAATACATAGTTTTATTTCAAAAAAGACTGTATACCAATGAAGTGTGTTCAAAAAAAATTGTAGCTTCGAAATATTAAATAATTAATAATTCATTTATTCTGCTATTATTTGAAAATTTTCTCGCAGTGCGTGTTATTTATTGCTTTTTATAAAGCAATTCGCTTTTTATATTCTTAAGAAAATTTCAGTAGATCTTCGCTGCAGACCTGTTGGGCAGCTCTTCTTGGTTTTTCAATACAAATTAGGCGACTTGCGTCCTTAAGTCGTCTCCAGGAAATATTCATCTAGGTCAATCAAAGATTTTTCGGCTGGCCAGAAATCAGCCATTTCATTCTGCTAGCAGAATATTCGATTGCGAAAAATAATTAATATTTTATTCAGCATTAAAAAATGAATTCTTTAATGTCGCCGCTTATGCATTCAATGAATAGATATCACTAAAATGTCTTAAATTTAAATCAAATAAAAATTTATGGTCAAATCTACTAAGCCACCTCCGAAGTGCTTCTGGTTTTTTCACGATGAGCTTTATTTCAAGTCAAGAACTGGGCTTTATGGCCTTTTTGATTAGTGTTTTCTGAATGCTTCTATAACCAAATGAGTGATTTAAACGCCGTTCAAAATTACGGTCAAAGCGGTAATCGTGGTTACAATATCTATTGTCAAAAGCTCAGGCAAATATAAAATATGGGTCCATTAGAGATTTTACAGCGCTTCTGGTGTTTAAACCAAAGCCACATTTGGCCTGTTTTCATACTTTCCATTCTCTGTGCAATATATAGAATTTAGAGCTCTCGGTGGAATACTCAAAGTATTCCCCACCTAGACTCGCTTCTATCTGATGTGTCCCTTCGGGTCGACGCATAAATTTCACTTAAGTGATTGCATTAAGTGATTGCATTAATCAAGGATTAATCAAAAGTTATAGAATTATTTTATATGATAGGTTCTAAGGAAGGAGGGAAAATTGTGTTAACTGATACCTTAAATGCATTCAGCGAGCCCAGTGGCTATTGAAGGGGTTCGGGTTGTGAACCACATAGTAAAAAATTTCAGCCTTCAGACCTGCACATTTTGCTTTGTGCTCAAAAATTAGTTTGCTGTTTTTCATGACATCGAAATATAAGATTTTTTCCATCCATATAAATATAAATTTAGTTTATTGAGTAAAATTATGAAAATTTACGTAAAAATTGCTGCTTTTATTTATTTTTACCTGCCAGTCATGCACACTTAGAAATTCTATTCATCTTTTAATCCCCATTTAAATGAAATACCTTTCTCAATATGTCATAAGCGAAAGAACCGCAGAAAGGTTGCATAAATGCCTTTGGCTGCGTTTATCATCTACGCACAACTCTTGCTCGCCCATTTTCATATATTATATGTAAGTGACTACATGCACTTTACTTTTGCTTTTACTCACTCTACTCGTACGATTTACCTATCCGTTTTGTACGCAATATCCTGTTTTGCGAAATTTACATATCAAAATGTGAGTGACAAGCTCGATGCGCGTCATTAAGTCAATGAAAAAATAAAACAAAAAAAAAATAAATAAATAAATAAAAATTGTCAAGTAGATAAATATATATAATTATTTGTTATACATATATTTAGATCTGTATGTGTGTGTGTGTATATGAGTATATACATATAATATCTATCTACTACCTAAGAGACCTATGCATAAAGAATAATTGCGCTAGCAAGAAGACAATCAATAGCAATCTGCTCTGTGCTTGTCAGCATATAAATGACCACATTTCCACTTGGCTTTGGCGCTATTGTTAATGTGTGTGTGTGTGTGTAAATAAATAATAGGAAAATATTTAAATATGCATACAAATGGCTACAAAAGTGAATAAGCAAATGTTTCGCAACGATGTATATGTATGAGTGTTCATACAAACACACTCACATACCTCGTTCAGTGATTTTGCAATAAAAACTTATTTGTGACATTTTTATATGTGTATAAAGTAAATATACATTTGTACAAACAGGGTTATCCATTTCGTGGTTTCGATAGTCAGAGCTGTCTTTTGACGAGGCATAATGGATAACCCTACACCTACACTTTGTGTTTTCATTAAAATTTGTGTAGAAATAAAAATGCAATTTTCGTTTTATTGAATTTCTTACGCACGCAAAGCGCTTGTGTTTGTAAATATGAATGCATATACGATATGTACGTACGTTTGTGGTGTAGAAATAAATAAAATGTAACTAATACTAATGTACTAATATTTTACTGCTATAAGATAAATTTGTTTAAATTTTAGAAAAAATATTGCGCACAGTAATTTCATGCGTTTATTAGTCGGACAGTTAGTTGGACGAACGGGTGGACGGACGGAGGAACAGCCAGTCATTTAATGAAGTCAGGCGACATTAGCACTTTGCACACAAAGTGAATTTGCCGCAAATTACCACTTTTAGTTCTAACTATTAAATTGATTGCTTTGCAGTTGAATGAGCAGCCAACTGACAATTTTCAACGACTATCATTAGCCCCGCCCAATCCCAGGTCCGCTGCTACTGCTGCTGCTGCTGCAATGGGACGTGTATTCCTTCGCGCTACACGTGTGTGCGTGTGTGTGTGTATGTGTGCTTTAGTAAATAATATGTTTATTTTATTATTACGTATGAAAAAATAATTAATGATTTTGCCATTGTTGGTATTGTTGTTGTTATTGTTGTCGTTACACTTTCTTGCTAATTCATTTGCAGCAATTATTTGTGCATTTTTATTTGTTTTAAAATAATTAATACAATGTCTTTATATGCACATTTGTGCATCGGCATTTGTCCTTACATAAATATAAATATGTATGAAAATGTGTTTGTATGTAGGAATGCATTTTTTTTGCATTTTTTTTTGTTTGTTTGCTAAATGACTTGTCATATGTGGCAACCAATCATAATTCTCTCGCCGCAGAAAAGTTGTCACTCAGACAACATCTATTTATTGTTGTTGCCTTTTTTAATATACTCTTAAATGCTCTTGCTGCCTGTACTAGTTAATTGCAATGTATTCGATTAGAAAATTAAAAACGTTTATAATTCTTTTCGCTCACACAATAACGGTTGGTTTGCTCAATGTTTTCCGCTGTAATTAAATATACATACAAAATAATTGACAACTCCCTGAAATCGAATGCCTTGGAATGGGAATACGTTTAGACATTATGGCGAATAGTTTAGATAAAAGTATGCATTCCAAAATTCCTGTTTTATACAAACATAACATCTTTAGTACAATTTTCGTGCAAGTGTTTGATTTATTACATTTAAAAAAAACTTATTACATTTTGCTATAAAATTCCTTAGTACACTTTTATGTTTTAAAATATTTTTTAGCTTTAGTTAAACTTTAGTTGTACAAAATTTTACAACAAAGTATTTAATAAAGAATCTTACTACAGATTTTAGTATAGATTTTCATAAAAATATTTTAGTACTACTTTTAATTAAATGTTTTTAGTACACTATTTAATGAAAGGTTTTTAGCACACCATTTAATGAATGTTTTCAGCACAATTTTTTATGAAAAATTTTTAGTACATTTTTTTAAAACAATTTTTAGTACTTTTTTATGAACAATTTTTAGTACATTTCTTACTCAAATTGTTTATGAAAAATTCTTCCCACTATTTTAAAAGAATAATTTTTAGCACATTTGTTTACGAAAAATTTTTAGCACAGTTTTTTTATAAAATATTTTTAGTACATTTTTTTTTTGAAAAATTTTAAGCACAATTTGAAAAAAAAAAACATATATAAGAAGTCCTTGAAATAAAAATTTTTAGCAAAATTTGTTGGGAAAATTTTTAGCACAATTTTTTGTGAACAATTTTTTGTATTGATTTTTATCAAGTCCAGCATATTTAAATAAACTTCAAGGCTTTAATACAAATTTTTTTTAACAAGTTTAGGTATAACTTTTAAGCTCAAATTCGTTTTAAAAAGCGTTCGACAAACTCTTAGTTAAATTTTTAGAACAA